TCCAAAAAAGTATTGTAAAATAATATAAAAAAAATTTTCATCAATTGTGTAACGATTTTGTGACGTATCAACGGTTCACCCTGTTGCAAATTTCTGCAACATTATTTTGATATGATTCGCTATAATTATACCAGCATACAAGTTCTTTTCGTTTAGCTTCTAACGTTCTACCTTCCACAACTTTAGCATCGGAAAACAATCTCGACCTTCCCCATCAGCTGGTACCGGTTCAATCTCCCGAGACTCAAGGATGTTAATTGATGAGGTGAGTGCTCTTCTTTAAATAAATGAAATCACTTCCTGAATTATCCCTTGCTCAACTTTCTGATTGTATGGTATTTTTCGGACAATAGGGGTAGGAGAGGTTTTTTGGAATGAAATATGCTTATCTGATCCCTCTAAGGCTTGATCACCTTTTTCTTCGCATAATAAATAAGATGCGTTATTTTCTGGCTTCAGATTTATGAGAAGATGAGCTGACTCACGCTGAAGCTTTTTCTCCCTATTCCTTTGCCTTATTTCATCACTAACCTTTTTCTTATGTACCTCATCCAAAAAAGTATCTGTCTTTCCATCCCCCAATGACTTCTGACAACTCACAGGTGAGGCACTTTTGCTCGGCATTATTGGGTTGGTCTGCAAAGGAACAAGGTGCATTGTCAACCTCCTCAAAAGAAATTAGCTCTTCGTTCTCTTCATTATTGTCCCTTACCACCACGCCTTCGGCTAGTTTCACTACTTCGGCCTTTATCTCAGCAATCTCAACATCACATCTAGCATTATCGGCATCAGTATCCGTCCTACTCTTCTCCAACTCTTTGATTCGGCTCCTAAGTTCCTGCCTGAGCTTCGTATTCTCATCCACAAGTTCGACATTCTTTGCTTCAAGTTCAGCGAACTTCCTTCTAAGTTCGGAAATCTCAGCATTCATGGCCTCAAGCTCAGCTTTCTCTCCCTTGATCTTAGCATACTTAACCTCAAGCTCGGTGAAGTGTTGCCTTAATAAATCTATTTCGGATTGCATGCTTGCTATATAATATTATTTATGCTCTGTATGTTAGTATTCAAAATTGAAAATTTCACGTGACATCCTGACCATTGGTCAGCAACGAAAAAAAAAATATTAAAATAAATACAAATGTTCGGGTCCTAGCCCGCAATACATATTATTTTTTTATTAACAAAGTTAACCATGTGATAAAATCGTTGGATTTAATCCAAGTGTAAAATGCCAAGAAAATACTCATATATAGATTAATATATATCGTTATCTGTTATCAATACGATAAACAAATTCATGAAATATACACACAAAAGTAAATGCGATTATGTATGCGAAATCAGCTTTATTGATATAAAATATAAAAAATAAAAACAAAATACAGAATAAAAAATATACATATTCAGATTTTTTTTTATCTAAGAATTTTTTGGTGAAGAATATGTTGTCGACATTATTGATGTTGATGGGGCCCGATCTTCAGTTACCGGCAAAAGACTAATTTCGTCTTTCACGTCAACAGACATTGCAATGATTTTCTCCACCACGAACCTCATTTTAAGGGCGTTCTTTAAAAATTCTTCAACTATCGGGCGTGAGGAAATACGTAATGGTATAACCAACTCACATATTCGAAAAACCCGATAAAAATCATCTTCAAATAAGTCTAACGCAGAAACGATCACACGATCTCGTATTACTTGGATACCTAAAACAGGAACTTTCCCTAGCTTGACATTTATCAATCTGGCTGTATCGGTAGTATCATCCCTCCCATCAAAAAAAACGTTATATCGTTCATCAAACCAATCTTTACAAATACGTACCAATTTCTTCCAGTCGATAATTTCTTTATCTTGTTGAGGCAGTAATCGTGAAACCTCAGCAAGTACTATTTCATTTTCCACTGTGTCAAGCTTTAACAAAACTTGTAGATCTGGCTTTTTTCCTGAATTCGTGGCTTCCATTCGTTCCATCCTAGACTGTGATGACTTGTTTGTCTGCTCAGACCTATACGTATTAAAATTTATGTATAGTATTTAGCGGGTATTACATATTTATAATGATCATTATAAAAATAATTGCAGTATATATTACCATGCACGTTTAAGGGACCACTTCAAATACGTGAAGATTGGATCTAAAACCTTTGATACAGCATGAATTACATATGAGTTCTCGCTGTAATCATCTTCCGTTAATAATGGTCTCAGACTTCAAATATGTCGCCTGGAATTAGAAATACTCTTAATTAATGATATGATCTTATATAAATATACACACAATTTAACGCAAATAACTTACAATCCTTCTAACAAGTCAAAAACTGTCATCACTATACGTCTGGATTCAATAGACATTTCTCCTCGTGGAAAGGCTATTGGTCGCATTAACACAGGATCAAAGTCAGGTC